GAACACGGCATTGTTGTGTCATGCATACTGGTGTGGTCAATCACACTGCAAGTGGGGGGGTGTGGCTGCGGTGCCATTGACTTGAATGCATCGCCACTCCTACCCCAGAATGCAGGGAGCCTTACAGTATGCGCTCCAGTGCGTTCCAGCAGCTGAAACGCGCAGGAAGTGGTGTGAACGGGCCCTGAGAATACTCTGCTTTTCTAATTTCCTGGCAAGTGTCATATCACCAGCCCTTGTGTGTTTATTGAACAAGCTGGCTAATCCCATAACTGCTAGACAGCCAGGAGAGAGATTGAGAAGAAACACCAAGAAAGAGAGAGCGAGGAGAGACATCCAAGAGAGAGAGGAGAGACATCCAGGAGAGAGAGCGAGGTGAGCCAACCAGGAGAGAGAGTGAGAAGAGACAACCAGGAGAAAGTAAGGATAAACACAGAGAGAGAGCGAGGAGAGCCAGCCAGGAGAGATGGGGGGGAGAGAGCGTGAGTAGAGACAATGAGGAGAGAGAGTGAGTAGAGACAACCAGGAGAGAGTGAGGAGAAACACAGAGAGAGAGTGAGGAGAAACACAGAGAGAGCGAGGAGAGCCAGCCAGGAGAGATGGCGAGGAGAGAGAGTGAGTAGAGACAACCAGGAGAGAGTGAGGAGAAACACCGAGAGAGAGCGAGGAGAGCCAGCCAGGGGAGAGATTGAGGAGATAGAGCCAGGAGAGACAGGATTGGAAATGTTGTAAGAACCGTTGAAGCCCAGTTTTTGGGGGTTTTTTTCATTGGTAGATCTCATTGAACTTGTCATTTGAAAAGTAGATCTTGACACAAAAAATTGTGGGCACCCCTGCTTTACAACATGATTACAATCTCTGGTACATTTCAAAAAGAAATGAAGTTAAAATCCTAACTCATAACAGACACAAAGTAATGCAGTTCTGTATTCATTAATACATAATTAATCTATTTTTAATATGCAAGTAGCAGGGGCGGACTGGGCCGGGGGGGCAGGGTGGCAATTGCCCCCCGGGCCTCTCTGATGAAGTGTGCTTTACATTTCCTAAACCGATAAATACATTCACACTACTGTTACATGGATGGCAAAAGTGGCAGACGGGGGTGGGGAGAATGCGGGGAAGAGGCAGAGCGGGAGCGGGGCCAAGGTCCCTCACCATGGGCCTCTGGGTTGTACTTGCCCCCTGGGCTAAAAGTTGCCAGTCAGCCCCTGGCAAGTAGTGTAAAAACCTGAATACGACCTGGTATCGGCCTCTTGCAGTCCACTGCACAGCCGAACTTAGACTGGGGGGAGTGAGAAGCGGCGCAAGGGGCCAATCATTTGTACTGTTGTGCCCATGTGATAATAGGAAACGTGTTGATAGAAGGAGAGGAAAACAATAATCACTCTGTGGCACTCATTTCACTGTCCAATTAAAGGCTGGGGGAGGGACAAGACCTGTAAGTGATACATAACTGCAACAGAGAAAGATGAGGGATGCTGCCCTGCTAGACAGGGCTTCACTGTTTGATAGGGCTGTGTAAATATCTTTACTGGATGGACAGAAATAATAATAATAATAATAAAACATTTTAATCATAAATTCTTTGGCAGGCAAAACAGCTCCCATATATGTAGTTACTCTGTGTATTTTGTGACAGCAAGCAAGTAAAATTACCTGGGTGCATTCTGGATGGCAAATATGTGTGTCCCAGGTTCAGGTTATATACGGATTGCTTGCACTAGCGGTAATGAGCCCAGCTGAAGTAAGCTGGCTCATTAGAGCCTCTATAAGAACTCCCAGACTACCTAGAGTTTTGCTCAACCCTGGAACCAGTTTTGTGCCTGGAAAGACTGGGGAGCTTTCTACCTACCTGTACGGTGAGACACAGCCTGTGTGGCAGTTTGCTCAGTAGGGAGATAGGTGCTAGGGGCATCACAAGGTTGCACCAAGTAGTTTGTGAGGGAAAACAGTGTGTGTCGTAAGGTGCCAAAAGGCAAGGTTTTATTTTCATGTTTTGCTCCGTTTTGCTTGCATATCGTTGCTTGCTGTGCCTATTTTTTGTGGAGTGAACTCATCCAGGGAATCAAATACACCCGCTGCCAAGCTAACACCATCACAATATTTAGGCTTAAGTGGAATCTAGAATAGACATGTCCCTATGTTTAAACTGCAACACACGTGAAACACCCACATGTTCCATAACCTCGGTTACGGGGAGCTTCACCTTGCTGTCTTCTACTTTCATTTGAATGCGGTGCGGTTGTGCAAGGCTTCTCTTGCGCAGCTACATCATCAAAGGAACTGTAAATGAAGAGACTACAGGTTCCATCTGTCACTGCGGCAGAGGTACTCACACATCCGAATGGATGTCACCACACTTGTAGCCCATCAATTACATCCTCCAGCCACATAACAGAAGGTCTGTATCTCAGTATGGATCTAGGGCAAGAATCTGCTGGAACCTGTGCATTGCACCTGCGATGCATTTATTGCAATGTAAAAATGTAATAAATGCACATTTTTTTATTGATAAAGTTTTTTTTAAAATGTGGGCTATGTACTAGCAGGCAATTGGGTACACTGCAGTGTATATGTGCAGCCAAGCAATGTACTGACAAACAGACTTTTTCATTGTTTAATCACGGTATTGTATAATTTGAAGGAGAGAAATGTCAGCTCACCAGCCTGGCAATGCTGTATGGTAAGGCTGTGCCAGCCTCAGGACTGGCTAAGAGAAATACAAATCCTTTGACAGGTACAACAGCTCCCATACCTGTATTTCCACTGTGTATTTAGCTGTTTTACTAAAGGTCAGCTTCATTAAATTGCATTTAAAATTTTCAGTTGACAAACTGTGCCAAGATGACCATCTTCCAAGTATACTCAACAAATTGAATGTCAGTATGATGCTCATGATGTCAACTCTCCAGTTTAACCCCTAAAAAACAAGATGGGCCAATACTTTCCTTGAAATGCCTTTGTGTGTGTTTAGTGTTCCAGCTCAATGTACGATGAAAGGAAGATCAGTTACGGTCTGAAATACATCCAATTTGGCAGCTGTGCAATCTCCTGTCACAAAATCTGACCTCACCAACACATTGGAATATTGTCACAAATACAGAAAGAAACAGAATAAACAGTCTGAAAGAGGAGTAGTTCAAAAAGAAAAGGGACGGATGAAAGGCTGATGGGTGCATTTTCTTACATCAGCTCTTCATCCTACTGCACAAAGCTGCAATCAAGGCACATTCTGTGCTTCCCAAAGAGTATCATTGAGTGAAAAAAAGTGTTCCGTCTAGTTCATGCCTTGAACGCAACACACTGAAAACTAGAAATTCTTTCACTTTTCTATTGCTGAATAGCAAGCTGATGATAATTTATTTTTCTTTCCTGTGCAAATGCTTCATGGCACTGCCATCTGTAATTGAGCTCCTTGTCTGGTCTCTTTTTGAGCTTTGAATGGAGCTGATGAGTAAACTAGAGTACGGAAAGGTTCTGACCACGCAGGAAGAGCTCCGCTCTCTGCAGCCCAGCTGTGCTGAAATTGCACACATGCCAAGCAGTATGTCAAGGCAGCAGTTTCACCCATACTAGGTGTCAATAGCTCCCATTAAGTTTGTTTTTGAATGTACATGATCGCAGACACTGACAATGATATAAGCAAATATTTATTTTCTACTCAAACCAATAGAATTAGTTTTATTTTACCATTACAAAATGGCTACTTATGCTTTTTGTAGATGTTATCCATCATTGATTCATTGCTTATTATAACTACACAGTCTTCAAAAATAAACTGGTCCCCCAAATATTTTAAGGACTTTACCTTTATTATTCCCCCTAACCCCCCAAGCTCCCTACACTATCCTAAGCTTAAAACCTATGCCCAGGTGCTTACTTGCTTCCTACAGTGGAGGCAGTCTCTGGTGTGGTTTACATCCTGGCTGGTGAAATATATGTCTGCGTCTGCATAGCAAGTCCCATAGACCTGAATTGAACATACCTGGAGTATTAGAGCATCCCATTCAGTAAGATTTTTATTGTGTGCATTTCTGTCCTGGAGACGCCCCCAGTATCTGATTGCTAGTTAAGGTGTCACAGAAATTCTAACCATTTCTCATTTTATTCAAAGCTATGTATTTATCTAGTTATTTATTTATTTTGCTAACGCTAAAGGGTAATTAAAAGTACCAATTTTTCTGTAGAAAAATATTGCTCTCCACAGCACCATCAACTTTTAAAACATAATCATCCCTCATAACCGTGAGATCTTTACACCTGAACATCATATAAAATAAATTGTATGTAATTCATGTTGAGTTTACTGGATACCGCATTGGTTTTCATATACATGCTGTAACAGAAGCATACTGCTGATGACATCTTAGCATATGCAGCCAGCAATAGTCTTTAACTATACAAGATGTTCAATAGCCCAGATGTTTAACAGGCCAAAATAATGTTGTCGGGAAAGCTTCAGCACCTTGGTTGGCTCCAACACAAAAAAACAGCATTGAGAGTCCAACACCAGATGCCAAGTGCTAACCGGGTGATAACAGCTCACATTTAATTATCTGCTCTGCTATTAGTGTACAGTTGTATTTGAAAAACTGGACATTTGGGTAAAACAAAAACAAAAAAAAATCATAGGCATTTTGTTTGAAATAACACATTTTTGTATTGTATATAAAATTGACTTTTTCACATTCCCTTGCTATAGGCTATATTTACATCTCTACAAGCATAAGAATACATAGTGAAAGACACTGGGAATCCTGTATATGTAATGTGAGTTCTTCTTAGTGTGTGAAAATGAAGATAATCATGAAGGAGCAAGACACTTATTTTAAAATGGCCGGTTTGGCTGAAGAATGCCAATGGAAAGTAGTAGTGGTGTATTTATAGTCCTATATGCTATGCTACCCTCTGTCATTAACGTACAATATATATTTTATATTTCTGGTTGCTTAATCAATGCTAAAATTTCCCTCAAGCTTAGCAGTGCAATCACTTACCCTGTTGGAGTCAATACGTGCTCTGGAGGTATAAAGGGGAGGTGGGATATTGAAGGCTTGTGGGACAAGATACTCCTCAGCATCTATCATATCTTTCAGGTCTTCATCGTCCAGAAGATTTTGGAAGAACTTGCTGTGATTAGGACTGGGGAGTTTCATCCGGTCATCACCCTTAAAAAGATAGAACTTTCTCAATAGATTTCACTGCTATATCCATCTATCTATCTATCTATTCTTCCTTCCATCATTTCAGAGAATGTGTAATATACTAAGCATAAGACTGTTTCCGAGTATACCAATATTCTAATAAATATAAGCTTTCAGTTCAGCACAAATAAAAGGTTATACAAAGTCCATCTAAATGCACCACAGAGTAGAATAAAGTAGCCCAAGGAATTAAAACAAACCTTCTACTGCTGTATAATTTGATTTGTTTCAGGGGCATATTGACTGAATCCAAAGACCTGTGCATCAAATGAGGCTATCCACATTACTGCTTCTCCTGTGCTTTATCTCTCCTTTTCTCTCTAGCTCTCTAGCAGAATCAATTTCTGGACTGCTTTTGACAGGGTCTGGCGATTCCTTGTGTGGGATTTTTGGACTGTTACAGTCTGACATGATATAAAAAGAAGCAGCTGAGCAGTTTACCTTGAAACTTTGCACAGCTCACAGGAAAAGGTTTTAGAGCCTCATTAGCAGTCCTGCTCAGCCCCCACAGGATCCTTTGTGACTTAAAGGGAATTGTTCATCAATATTCAAGAAAACATTACATTTATGTTTAAATACAGCCTTGGGTGGTGCAGAGAGTTGTTGATTTGATGGTGAAAGTAAAATTATATAATTTGTATTCTAATAATACCAATGATAATGATATCTTCAGTTCCTATCTAATAGGCCTCAGCAAGCTATTTCTATCAATATTTACAAAATCTCTAACAAAAAAAATGGGGAAGGGGGGATTTAATCTAATTTCCTGTCCAGGTGACCAAAGTGGAAGTTAGAATATCTTCACAATGGGGATATGGAGAGCAATAAAATGCTTACACATGTTTGACTCCTTACCCATGTTACTTTAAATACATGTTCTATTGCGGTCTATGCCCCAGTTGGCAACCACATAGGAAGTAAATGCAAATCTCTCCAATAGCTATGAATCTCTCATATCGCCTGTCAATTTAGGTAACTGATCTGTATGATAGTCTAAACACATACCAAATCCAGTTACTATGTGATGCACAAGCTTTATACAGTAAAATACAAAAATGTTCTTTACCTCCCCTGACTAAGCCAAATCCTTCTTCGTTTGTATCTCAAATGGCCCCCCTCCCAGACACTGCAGCTCAGTGGGAGAGTTTCAGCAACACAGAGTTGTCACTTTAGAAAGCAGTGGGTAGGGCTAGGTGAAGCCAGGTGCTGACTGACAAGCTTTTAGGGACTTTGCAGGGCAGACTAAGAGAAAACCAGAAAGTGCCAATGTACTTATATTTAAAGTGATTTTAAAGTTATTTCAAATGTTGATTATATCACTTACAATGGATGATGCTTCTTGTCGTTTCTGATATCATGTTTTAGGGTGGCTCCTTTCCCTTGCAGGGTCCTATGGAACCACCTGTATATGTGTGCTAGTAAGCTGTGTGTGTCTCCACAAACACACAGACCACCGCAAGGCAAGTCACTTCCCTTCCTAAAGCTAGAAGATAGGCAGCTACTGGAGTCTGCTCTGCCCTTATGATCTTGTACTGCACAGGAAGTTCAGAAGCTGAGATGAGAGAGTTGGAACTGTTTGGAAAAACGATGACTAAGTGCTTGGGTGAAAATATAAAAGACATACTTTGTTGGGCAATGTATATATGTTTTATCTGAATTCACTACTGAAAAAAAGTGAAGCTCACTGAGCTCTGGGTGAAAACTAAGCGATTAGTAAGGTCTGCAGCAGACCTTACTAATCACCACTAGATCATCAGGGATAATGCCTGCTCGCCTTCTCCCTGCAGAAAGACAAGTAGGTGAGGGGGCTTCCTTGTTTTATTTTACATGGTGGGGGGCTTCTTATTTTAAATATATATATATATTTTTAAACATACAATTTATACATACTAATATAGTTGGATGAAGTGCTATGAGTAAAAAATGAAAGTCAACTTCATGTTGCTTTCTTTCATAGAAATAAACCTTAGATAAATATTTTTTTAAACATGCATTTTATACATATTAATATACTATATTTGGACGGGTGCCTTTATCATACAATTAGCTATGTACTGAAAATTAACAGCCAATTTTAAATATTTAGCACTCCACAAGAAAGCTTACTCAAGTACAGTTCCCAAGTTTTTTACATTACTTCAATGAAAGATTCATTGTTAGCATATTCTTAAAAGACACAGAAATAAAAGTTCTAATAACATTTATTTAAGCTAATCATTTAAATTGCAGAGCTCTCCTGTAGGACTTGTTATGTGTGCCCTTTTATATGCACACAGCCACCTTCAGTAACGCTGGTGATTATTATGGTAATTAAGTTTTCCATCGTAATAGTGAGAGTGTCACATTGCAATCCTCTATATCATGGTCTTACATTATCTTCCACTGTGCACAATGGCTGTAACTTAGAATCACTGAGGACAATGGAGACATTCTAGCTCCCGATAACAGCACGGCGACTACAATAGGAGAGCTGTCACAAATGTGCAAGAATAGGTACAATGAACCTGGATTATACTGTAGCAACATGAGGATGAAAATGAAATTAGCTGGTAGGAATAAGAAGACATGTACATTCACGAGGTGTTAATCCAAGAATTCTTGGAAATAATATTATCTATTGTGCGATTTTTTTTTTTTTTTTTTTTTTTTTTTTTTATGAATAGTATCCTGGTTAAAATAGAACAGTTCATGTTAATTCAAACGTTTAGTGTTTTCCCATATGTTTTTTATTATGTTCAGGAGTAATAAAAACCCACATGTTTTGATATTTTAGATTTTGTTGCAGTTAGGTAACTATTGCATATTATTATTTCATATGTATTCCTTCTAGCCAGATGTTGAGGAGGGTAAGTCTGATATTATAGTGCTTTATATAGCTGGTTTAATGTTATGCTGAGAATATGGACTTTAATATCAAGATCTTAGGTTACACCTAACCAAATGAGTAAGCTGAAAGATTGTGAAGGGGGACACCTGTCCCTCCTTTCCTAGCCGAGAAGCATCCACTTGGATATTCAATCTGTAGGCACAGTCAACACATGCAGAGTAGTGGTGGGCTCTCTTCTCAGAAAGCCGAACAATGTGTCCTTGCTAGAGAGACTCACTCTCTGTTCTTAAAAAGTCCACCCTGCACAGTACATCGTGAACCATGAAAGCACTTTGTAGGAAATGTTTTTAACAACTTTAAACTTACAAACTTTCAAAAATGTTTAAAATCGTGTTGATTAAAAACCATTATAGTTTCCTTCAAGTCATCATGATCCAAAGGTCAACATAATTAGACAAATTATTTACTTGGTAGAATTAATATATAGTTAGGCATTGGATTCAGATATTATATCTGGAAAAAATAAATCAAGGCAACTGGACTTGCTGAATTTTTCTTGAAGACATTTCACTGGTCATCTGACTAGCTTTCTCAATTTACAATTCTGAATTGAGAAAGCTAATCGGATGACACCAAGTCCAATTGCCTTGATTAAATTTGTACAGATATACCATTACGTGGATGAATAAGAACTTCCACATACATTCAGATATTATAACATATAAAATGATCTACAGTTATCTATATCTATTAGATACTGAAGTAGACAACGTGTTCATTTATTTAAAATGAATTTGCACCTACAGAAAATATGCAAGTCAGGTAATAAAAATATTGCTCATGCACGAAGGTGCCTGAAAGAAAATCTGTGTTTCCCAAATAAACCAGCTAGATCCCCCCTTGTATGTTTCAAGTGGATAGATGAATGTAATCTACTGCTTTAGGCAGCACAGACAGTTCTAACGTCTAACACATTCATTCATGAACCTCAGCATGACAATAACAGTATCACAAGCCCAAATGTGCCGCAAAACAGCACATAAGCATTTACATTATTTTTAAAATTGCACTTGAAGTGGAACTACAAAATACAAATATTATAATTGCATTTTCTTTAATATAATTACAGTAGGCAGTATGGAGTATGTACCTGTATCACAAGGTATCTTTGAGGGTCCCTCGCCATCCTTGAGAATTCAGCTGCAAGTTCTTTAAACTTGGGGCGACTGTCAGCATCGATCATCCAACCTTTAAAATGATAAACGTTTTCCAGATTATTTTTTTACAAACAATCAGTGCTGGAAAGGTATAACCAAAGCCAACATACTGCATATGAAAATACAAAAAAAATCTTACTATACAGTTTGAGGTCAACCTGCCAAAAACCGTATCATATGAAACAGAGCATAGGATAAAAAGTGGATACATATGTAAAAACCAATGTTAAAATGATCAGTAGATCTGGAGTTATAGGA